AGGGAAGGATTGCCGGAGCCCAGCAGGTCGAGGTTGCGGTGGCCGGAAGCGGCCACTGCACACCAGTCTGGGTGACAAAGTGAGACCCCAACTCAAAAAAAAAAAAAAGGTCAGATGGGGTGGTTCACACCTGTAATCCCAGCACTTTGGGAGATTACAGGTAGCTTGCTTGAGCCCAGGAGTTCAAGACCAACCTGAGCAACATGGTGAGACCTCATCTTTATAAAACATCAAAAAATTAGCCAGGCATGGCGGCACATGCCTGTAGTCCCAGCTGCTTGGAAGGCTGAGGTGGAAGGATCGCCTAAGCCCAACAGATTGAGGATGCAGTGGGCTGTGAGTGTGCCACTGCACTCCAGTCTGGGCAACAGAGTGAGACCCCGACTCAAAAAAAGAAAGACCTGTATGAGCTTGGCTTCTGCCCTCAAAGCTAAGCTCAGGCTTAGCTTGGACGGGCTAAGATGTCTTTGCCGGACTTCCACCCGCCAACACTCCCCCTAAACTCAGGACCAAGCAGGCTTCTGAGTAGTGGCCTCAGTTCCTCCAGACTGCTCCAGTCCTGGCCTCTGCCTCTCCCCCTCACTCCTTCCAGAACAGTCTCCCGGCAAGTGGTCTTCCCAAACTACGGCTGGTACATCCCACCGGCAGGCTGGTGAACACCGCCCCAAGGGGAACTTCACATGGAGTGGCCACCTCATGCCAAATTTATGTCACTCTGAGGCACACAACTAGGCCGTGCCCCCCCCGCCCAGACGCTCCCTGCCTACTGGGATGCCCTCCCTGGTAGTGAGGAGGAGCTCACAGAGCTCTGAAGGAAGTTCACCCCCTCTCTCCCAGGTCAAGATGACTATGATCGCCTGCGGCCCCTCTTCTACCCCGATGCCAGTGTCCTTCTCCTCTGCTTCGATGTCACCAGCCCACACAGCTTTGACAACGTCTTTAACCGGGTAGGTACTGGGGGGCAGGGAGGCATAGCCTCCCACGCCATAGCCAGGCCTGTCTGCTCTGCCACCCCCCCTTGACCTAGCCGGCTGTCAGAGCTGGCCAGGCCCACGATGACACTGAGTCCAAGGCCTTTGGCTCTATATGGCGAAATTGAGGCCCAGAGAGGGGGCAATGACTTGCGCAGGGTCCCATAGGGATTTGGTGGCAAGGTCTGCCCTTCTGACTCCCAGTTCAGTGCTCCTTGCCTGCCCGATACTGCAGACTCAGGGCACTGGGACTCTTTCCCCTAGGTTCTATCTGAAAGTGCTGGGTGGGCTGCGCTCGGTGACTCAGCCTGTAATCCCGCGCTTTGGGAGACCGAGGTGAGTGAATTGCCTGAGCCCGCAGGTTCAAGACTCGCCTGGGCAACTTGGCGAG